TAAATAAATAAATAAATAAATAAATAAATAAAGTTAAATAAAATAATTATTTCTTAAAAAAAAAAAAATCAATGAAGTAAGTTATATTAATTGATACTTTCACATTTAAACCAATCTTACATCCTTAGAATAAACTTAGTCTCGTCAGGATTTATTGTTTTGGTATCAAAGTTATGCTAGCCTTATAAAATACCTGGCACCTGTGTCCTCTTTGTCCACTGTCTGGAAGAGGCAGTGAAAGATTAGGATCATGTATTCCTAGAATGTTTGGTATAACTTAACTTGCTTATCAAGGCCTGCAATTACTTTGAGGGAATGTGTATGTGTGTACAGATTGATTGATTGATTGGAGAGATTTTTGCTATAGTGCATATGTGCTCACCAGAGAGACATAGAGAGACAGAAAGTGAAAAGTCACCCCACAAGGGGGATGGCCACACCACAGTTCCTTCTCCTCCATTCTTCGCTCGGGATTTTGGGCCTCAGCCTGAATTTCAAGCTGACAGGTCTAGGACTGGAACCACAGTTGATTACATGGGAGTCCAGCAACATAATAACCATTATGCCATCTGCTGGTTCCAAGGAAATATTTTTGATCACTGAATCAACTTATTTTGAGACTATTCAAGTTTTTAAAATTTTCATCAGACAGTTCCATTAAGCTGTCTTTTTCTAGTAATGTATCCCTTTGACCTACATATTCGAATTTATTTTATATCACCTTTCAAATTCTGCTTTATCTATATGTAAATCCCCTTGCTCTTTCCTAAAATGCTATGTGTACCATCTCTTTTTCTTTTTCTCTCTTTTTAAAAATTTTATTCATTGTCATTATCTTTATTTTATTTTTTTTAAGTTGATAAGAGAGAGAGAGAAGGAAAGTGAGAGAGCAAGCTGCCATGTCCTGGACTTGAACTGTGGTCAGCCTTGTGTGAGTCCAGCCACCTTAACCACCACACTACCTTTTGGGCCTCATATCATTTTCTTGATCCACTCAAAAACCAACTCTTAACTTTACTGATTCACTCCACTACATATTGCCCCTCTTTCCATTTCTACTCTTTTAGGATAGCCTTGCTTTCATTCGTTTTCATATTGGGTTTTATCAACCTTTAAGTTAGATACATTATCAATTAATTTCTTTAGTCTTTCTTTTTTTGAGAGGTTTTTGCTATAGGGCGCGTGCGCTCGCCAGAAAGACAGAAAGCGAGAAATCACCCCCCGGGGGGATGGCCATATCACAATCCCTTCTCCTCCATTCTCCTCTTGGGATCTTGGGCACGCACGCACACGCGCCCGGCATGAGTTTAAGCCACCGGGTCCGGGACTCAAACTGTGGTCGACTACATGGGAGACCAGCGACATAGCCATTATGCCAACTGCTGGTCCCTAGTCTTTCTGCATTAAAAAGCAATAAATTCTCCTCTATCTACTTTTCAGCTTTATGCCACATGTTTTGATTTGTGATGTTCTTCACTTACTGTTCAGTCATAAATTTTTTTTAAAGAATTATTTTATTCAACTTTATTTATTTGTTTACTTATTTTAAATTTGACCAGAGAGGGACAGAGTGAGGGGAGGGAGAGAAAGAGAGAGAAGTGAGAAAACAAGCCACCAGGTCCAGGACTCAAACCACGGTCAGCCATGTGCGAGTCCAGTGTGCCTACACACCAAGCCACCTGCCAGACCCTAGTTATATTTTGCGACTTTTATTTTCTTTTGGATTTTATGATTTCAAATATATGAGGGCTGGTTTTCTCTATTTTGTTTTGCTAGGTGTATTTTTATTATCCACATCTGATAAACTTCCTTTGATTATCTGATTTTTGTTCCTTTAATTGGAACCATTATTACTCATATGTATTATAATCACTAATTAATTTGGGACAGTTCTACCACCTCTGCTTTTCTATTTGCCCCATGTTTTCCATGCATCTTTACTGTTCACATTGACATCTCATGAAACGGCATTTTACTCTCATTCAAAATCCCTCCTCTTCCCTTCTTCTCTACAGGTGTCCCCCTCTTATTTTAGTTAATCAATATATTGGATTATCGGAAAAGTCATGATGCATTTTTGCACTGAAAAACATAAAAAAAAAGTCATGACTTCTCTGACAATCCAAAATTTATCCTCACAACATAAAGGACACTGGGCGCTTTGATTTCTATCACCTTCATTGCCTCAACTTACGTTACAGTTGTCATTTCATTTCTTTTTTTAAAGAGAGACTTTGCTACAGGGCACATGCACTTGCAGAGGGACAGAGACAGAAAGTGAGAAATCACCTCCCCAGGAAGGATGGCCATGTTACAATCCCTTCTCCTCCTTTCTACTCTCAGGATCTTGAACATGCGTGCATGTGCCTAGTGTGAGTTTGAGCTGCCAGGTCGAGGGCTCAAACCGCAGCTGACTACGTGGGAGCCCGGTGATGTAACCATTATGCCATTTGCTGGTCACTGGAATTCTTTTTTCACAAATAATTATTTATTTAATTTTATTGATGTATTATTATTATTCAATTTGACCAGAGATAGAGAGACAGAGCAATAAAGCAAGCTGCCAGGTCCAGGACTTGAACCACAGCTGACTATGTGGGAGTCCAATGCCTTAACCATCACACCACCTGCTGGCCCCGTGGTCCCTGTAATTCTTATTTGTATAACTACAACCAGTCATTTTAAATAGTCAATGTTTGTTTCTATTTACCTAAATATTTACTATTTTATTCACACATCTTTCTCCTTAGAATTTTAACCTGAAACCTCTTTCCTTCTGCTACAGAATTTTCTTCAGTGAGAGTAAGCTTGGTGGCAAACTCAGTATTTTTTTTTTCAGTCAAAATGTCTAATGTCCTTGGTTCATAAAGATATTTTTGTTACATACTAATTCTAGGTTAACAGCTAGTATTCCTTAGTTCACTGAAGATATTACTCTATTGCTTTCTAGCTTCTTTGTATTGTTTAAGAATAAAATATGTTATTTTTATTTTCTCATTGCTTACAGATCTATTTTGTCCCACATTCTACAGTATCCTAGGATAGGCTATGGGTAAAATTGTTTATTATCTTGCCTTCACGAATCTATAGCCTAGGAAATACTTAACCATTTCTCTTGGAAAATATCCTCCCTTTTCCTAGACTGTTATCTTTCTGGACCTTGAAGGTCACAAGCTCACTTAGCATTTGGCCTGACTATTCCATATTAATTTAATCTTCTATCAATTTATTTATTTATTTTTTTGAGAGGCTTTTTTGCTATAGGGCATGTGCACTCACCAAAAAGAGAGACAGAAAGCGAGAAATTACCCCCCAGGGGGGATAGCCATGCCGCAATCCCTTCTCTCAGGATCTTGGGCCTGCATGCACACGCACTTGGCGTGAGTTTGAACCACCAGGTCCAGGATTTGAACCACGATTGGCTACATGGGAGTCCAGCGACATAGCCATTACTCTAACTGCTGGTCCCATATCAATGTGTTTTTAAAGACTTCAAAGCACTTGTATGTTTTTTGGTGGGATAGTTAAAACACCTCATCTACTCCATTACAGGAAATTACGGTATCTTGTGATTTTTATTTTTAATCAATGTTAATAGGAAAAGAATACAAAATCCTATTTCCCTGCTCAATTTCTGCTAAACCCACCTCCAATCACGTGTGTTACCAAGCTGTTTGCCAAATGTCATTTAATTGCTAAGGAAGTAGGAAACCACTGCCTGTAATTAAGATGATTTGGTGGTTAGAAAGATATTTTGTTTCTTTTACCGTTTCCAGTATGTAAGGTCTAAGAAGGAGAAAACGGGAGTTCTGTTGGAGCCAGAAGCCATCTCTGTGTCTGAGCCGTCATCTGACTGGTGACTGTAACAAGGAGACTGTGCAGGGGAGGCACTTGAGGTGGTGCTATGAGCATCAGAATCTGCAATAAAGATTTAAAATAAAAAATCAATTCATTATATGAAATTACAAATAAACTTCTCCACAGACAGTTTGAAAGAGTTGACAAAAAGAAGGAAATGGGGGCTGGATGGTAGCAGTGGTAAAACGTGACTCTGTGCAAGGCAGGCACACATGGAAAGGTTCTAGAATTCTCCAAGACCTCCCTGAGTACAGTAGGCATGTGCAGTAGGGCTGGCTGAAGCTGGAGCCAGGTGGACTGCAAAGTCAAGTCCCTACTAGGGGCACTTTCTGTCTCACTGATGGAGAAATATACAAATAAAAAGCTTTGAAAAGAAAAGAAGGCTAGACTTATAGCCTCGTAGTTAAGGAAGCCGGATCCTATAGGGCCGGCCATCTTTTGAACATCACCCCCGATGCTTGAAAACACACCAGAGGGGTGTGTGTGTGTGTGTGTGTGTGCACATGTATGCGTATGCCCCAAATCATGACAGAATGAAGAAATGGAGGTAAGGGGATTGCAATGTGATCACATCCCATTGAGGGTGCTCTTACCCCTCCTCCTCTGATTAATATCTAGCAATAATTTTTAATTTAAATTTAAAAAGTAAAAATGAATTTATAATCTACTCACTACTGATATTTAAAGATATCTGTACACTAATGTATTAGGTTGTCAAAAAAGTCGACTCATTTTTGCACGGAAAAATACGTCATGACTTGGGACTGGCAGGTGTGTGGTGGTTAAGGTACTAAACTCCCATGTGGCCAACTGTGGTTCGAGTCTTGGACCTGGCGGCTTGTTTTCTCACTCTCCTTCACTCTCTTCCTGTCTTTCTCTGATAAGAATAAAACTAACTAAATAAAATTAAATAAATCTAAAAAAAAAATAGTAAGTCATGTGTTTCTGACAACCCAGTACTTTAAAAAGAAAATGGGGGGGAGGCGCAGGAGGTGGTGTGGCAGTTAAGACACTAGACTTCCACGTGCTGAATAACCACGGTTTGAGGCCCAGCCCTGGAAGTATGATATGTGCATATGTGCCCAAAGTACCAAGAGGAGAATGGAGAAGGGATTGTGGCATAGCTATCCCTCCTAGGGGGTTATTTCTCACTTTCCCTCTCTTTTGTCTTTGTCTGGAGAGTGCTGGCACCCTAGGACAAAAACCTAAAAAAATAACAGAGGAAAAGGAGGGGGCCAGCCCATCACGTGGTGGTTAAGGCAGCTGGATTACACATAGCTGACTGCACAGGTCAAGTCCTGAAGCCACTGGTGGGAGAAACACACCGGGAGCATGTGCATGTGTCCCCCAATCCCAAGAGGTAGGAGAGATGGAGAGAAAGAAATTTAGCGGTGACCATGCCCTCATGGAAGAGGGCTTTCCTCTACCTAACCTCCCCCCCCCCCCCCCCCCCCATGGAAGATGGCTTTCCTCCCCCTAACCTCCCCCCCCCCGCCCCCGGAGTACCTTCTGAAGTTAAAAACAAAAACAAAAACAAAAACCGATGAAGCCTTTCAGGACCAGCAGGTAACATACTGGTTAAGGTACTGGACTACCACATGGCCAGCAGTGGTTTGAGTCCTGGACCTGGAGGTTTGCTTTCTCACTTCCCTGGCCCCCCTCTCTCTCTGGGAAACTCCCCCACCCTCCATCTCTCTCTGGTGAGCTCATATGCCCTATGGGAAATTAAATTATTATATTAATTTTAAATGTTAAATAAATAATTCTTAAAAAAAAAAAAAAAAGAAAGAAAGAAAATGAGGATTTCCACTTCTGGAATAATAGAGTAGAAGTGTTTTTCCTACTCGTCTGCTCATACAACTAAAAACCCTGGACATCATGAATAAACCAAACCCTAAATTTGAAGATTACAATCTAGGTAGCTCTAGACCCAAACAAGGACCTGGTGGTGAGTTCCCAGTTTTTCTGGATTTTATTTCTTCTCAGAAATCCCAAACTTAGAGGTGAAGCAGCAGCAACCCAAAAATGCAAATGGGTGAAGACAATCAGAGGGGGAAAAAGCCTATTCTTTCTAGCCAAAGGACCAGGAAAAAGGTCTCCTAATCAAGACAGGTAAATTTTCTTAGACAGTAACCCCTGCTGTTCCAGTCACCACCACAGAAAAGGCTGCAGCTATCCACCACCCAGTCCCCATAGATCAAGTGGCATCTTGGTTTCCACCCTTTTGAGACAGTTAGGAAGCCCACAACTCCTCCACAGGTATGGTGTTAGAGAAAGCCTGGTAGAGTCAGGACTCTCCCTGTAGCTCACCAGAAACAAGGCCACCTTTGCCACGCAGGAACCTAAATTCAGCCCTACACCCAGTAGTAACAAGGAGGCCTCTCTCTCCCCTTCCAGCCTAAGATGACAATGGAGGCCGAGTGAGCGACCTGACTTTGAACACCATCTGGCAGTAGTGCCGTAGTGGCAGCATCTCTCTCACTCTCTTTTCCTGCTGGAGGGTTTCCAAATAAGCCAATCCAAACAGAAGGTTTAAATAAGGCCCAGAATCTCACAAGACAATCTGAAAACGTCCAGGTTTCAATCAAAAATCACATTGTACCAAGAACCAGGAAGATCTCCAGCTTAATGAAAAGGCACGTACAATGCCAACGCCAAGATGACAGAGATGTTAGAATTATCCGGACAAGATTTTAAAGCAGTTACAATAAAAATGCTTCAAAGGGCAGTTGTGAACAAGTTTGGAATAAACAAAAACACAGCCTTGGCAAAGAAACAGGAAGACTCCCAAGCAAGCAAATTAATAATTTCAAACTGAAAACTATAAATGAAATAAAAAGCTCAGTGGATGGACTCAACAGTGAACTAGAAGGAACAACAAATCTGAACACCACAAACTCACAGAGCCTGAGACCTACGGGATTGTGACAAAAAACCTACGTTCTTGTCATTGTAAACCCAGAGGGAGAGGAGATAAAAGGAGATGAAAATCAAATGTAATGGCTGAAAAACCATCAAATTTGGTGAGAATATCAACCTAACAGATTGAAAGAACTGAGCAAAGCCCAAACAAGATAAACCCAAAGAATCCATGCCAAGCCACACCATAATTAAACCTCTGAAAATTAAAAGAACAAAGGAAAATATCTTAAAGTAGGCAAAGAAAAATGACACTTTATAAAGGGAAAACAATAGTTCCAGATTTATTAAGTTGTTGGGAAAGTCTACGTTTTCCTACACCATGACTTCCCGACGACTCAATACAGAATAAAGACAATTCATTAGGTGCAGAGCTAAACCTGATGGGAGGTTTTTGCTCTCAGAAGACATCATATAAATTTACATGCCAGAAAATAAAATCTAGCTGTCAGTCACTGTGCTGTATATGATACACAATATCACAGCCCCAGGAATATCAGAAATAGGGGTGACACTGACCCCACCCCTACTGGTTAGGAGAGCCAGATCCCACATGGGGATTGAATCCCGGCCCAAGCAGCTTAAAAAACACTGCTGGTGTGTGTGTGTGTGTGTGTGTGTGTGTGTGTGTGTGTGTCTGCATGCACAAAACCTTAACATCGTGAGGCAGCCAGCGTGACAGTTAAGGTGGCTGGATCCCACATAACTGACTACACAGTTGGAGTACCAGACTCAGTGGCTTGAAAAACATGCTGGGCATGTATGTGCAGCCACCGAAAATCTTGAGAGAGCAGAGAAGAGACTGCAGTGGCCACACCCTTAGGGGGTGCTTTCTCTCTCTCTCTCTCTCTCTCTCTCCAGTGAGCACGTACACCTACAGCAAATTACAAACAAACAAAAATCATAACAGGATGGAGAAATGGAGAAGAGATTGTGGCATGATCACACCACCATAAATAGGTGGTTTCTCCCTCTCCCTCTTCTTTCTCTGGAGAGTGCAAGCACTCTGGCAATCTAATTAATCAATCAATCAATCAACAGAGGTTCAATCCAGAACACACCTTTTTTTTTAGAGAACTATTTATTTTACTTTATTTATTCATTCATTTTATTTTTATATTTTAAGAAAATTATATTATTTAATTTTTTATGTATTCATTCATTTATTTTCATTTGACCAGAGAAAGAGAGAGAGAGAGGGGGGGGAAGTGAGAAAGCAAGCCACCAGGTCCAGTACTCGAACCATGGTTGGACATGAGGGAGTATCTGGCGCCTTAACCACCACACCACCAGCTGGTTCTCCCCTCATTCATTTGTTTTAATTTTGGAGAGAGAGAGAAGCAAGCTCAAGATTCAAACTGTGGTCAAACCATGTGGGAGTCCAGTGCCTTTAATCACTTATTTTAATTTTGGAGAGAGAGAGAAAGCAAGCTCAGGACTCGAACTGTGGTCAAACCATGTGGGAGTCAAGTGCCTTTAATCACTACACCACCTGCTAGCCCCTCACATTTTTTTCTTAGAAGATTTTTTTTTGGCCATAAGGCGCATGTGCTCACCAGAGACAGAGAGAGACAGAGAAGAGAGATGAAAAGTGGGAAACACTGCCCCCCACCCCGCCCTCCCCCGGGAGAATGGTCATGCTGCACTCCCTTCTTCATACTCCTGGATTTCAGGCATACACACTATCCTAGGAAGTGCTTAGATCTTTGAACCATTTGAAATTTCAGTTATTTGATCATCCTCAAGTAATTTTAAGCTGGACATGTGTGTGCATGTATGCTCAAAGTCCCAAGAGGAGAATGGAAGCGGAGATGGCCTAGCCATCCCCCTCAGGGGTGATTTTTCTGTGTCTCTTTGTCTCTCCCTCTCTGTCTCACTCTGGCAAACACCCTTATGTCAAAAAAACAAAAATAAAAAACAAACAAAATAACATCTAGTGAGAATGGAAAGTAGCACTGAAACCTTGGGGCAGGGGTATGAGAGCTGGTTATGAAAGAATTCCACGGAGGCCCAGCTTAGTAGTGTGCAGCTAAGATACTCTGCTCCACAAACTGGGACTATATGGGAGGCCTGGATTCGATTCTTGGTCCAACCTAAGGCTGGACACAGCGGCATGGGCCTGTAATCCCAGCAATTCAGGAGGCTGAAGTGGGAGTATTGCAAACTTGAAGCTGGCCTGGACAACACAGCGAGACAGGATCAGAAAGAAATGGGTATGGTAGTGCATTCCTGTGGTCCCAGGAGCTGAGCAGAAGTGTCACAAATCAGCAAGCAAGACTCCCTCTTAAAAAAAATAAAATAAAATAATGGGTGTAATGGTTACACCACTGGACTCCCACGGTTCAAGTCCCACACCCAGTGACTTAAAACTCACACTAGGCATATGTATGTGTGTGCCCAAAATCCAGAAAGGAGAATGGAGGACAGGGGACTGAAGTGTGGCCATCCCCCCTGGGGGGTGATTTCTTGCTTTCTTGTCTCTGTCTCTCTCTCTCTTTCTGACAAGTGCATGTGCCATATAGCAAAAAAAAAATCTCCAAAATAATAATAATTTAAAAAATGATAATTCTTGAAAAAATAATAATAGTGATAAATAAAATTAAATAATTTTTAAGAAATCTGTGCTTCTTATCTAAACATCTAAAATAGAAATAACTGAGATAATTATGACGGTAAAATGTTTGGTGTATTTATCAAGATGCTCAAAAGATGCTCCTCTCTGCTCTACCTAGTCAATAAACTTTCTTCTTTTGTTTCATTATTCTAAAGCAAGCATGATAACCATTTGTCTTAATTGATAATATTTTGTCTAACAGGATGCTATAGATTAAAATATATATATATATAGCACTGCAGTACAAGTCCACGACCTCTATTCACAATTCTGAGAAAGTTCTGAAAATAGATTATTTCTAAATTATATGGCCACAAAATCTGACAAAACCTGAACTACGATTTTAAGTAGACAAACTACTGCTCCATTTATGCTACAGAGATACTAATGGTATGATTCGATATTGCTGCCTCAGATTCCCCAGAGGACGATACAAAACACCATACAGCAACATTTTAGGAGTATATTTCTCTTTAAAGCCTGAAATCTAGGGGTTGGTAGGTAGCGTGGTGGTTAAAGTGCTGAACTCCCACATGGCTGACTACGGTTCGAGTCCTAGGCCTGGTGGCTTGCTTTCTCACTTTCCCTTTCTCTCTCTCTCTGGTCAAATTAAAATCATCATCATCATCATCATCATCATTATAGTGGCAAATAAAGAAATAATTCTTTTATAAAAACCCGAAATCTAAATTCCAAAATATAGATGTGCCACCTCAGCACTTTCCCTTCCACTTCTGATTAGAGTACGTAAATCTGGTTATCAGTTGGATACCCTTGGCCACTCTATCAACCCATACAACACATCTCCCCTCAAACTTGAAACGCCTAAGGTTGGTTTAAAACTGAGTTAAGATTAAGATTCTAAAGTTACGGGGAACCAGCAGTTAGCATAATGGCTATGTCGCTGGACTCCCACGTAGTTGACTGCGGTTCGCGTCCCGGACCCAGTGGCTTAAAACTTACGTCAGGCGTGTGTGTGTGCGTGCCCAAGATCCCAAGAGGAGAATGGAGGAGAAGGGATTGCGGCGTGACCATCCCCCCTGGGGGGTGATTTCTTGCTTTCTGTCTCTATGTCTCTGTCTGGCGAGCGCACGCGCCCTATAGCAAAAAAAACCTCTCCAAAAAACCAAAAAAAGATTCTAAAGTTACTTCCTAAAATATCTGGACTTTGGGCTCAGACTCCCTACTTATTTACATACCCTTCAGCCTTTCTCCAGGTCTCAATTTCCTCATCCATAAAAATCAGGTATTTAAGATAGAAATGCACCTCTAGAAAATTAAGATGTCAATAGAGATCAGACTGGTCTGCATAATCTGAAGCGGACAGCTGGGCTAATTAGTGAAAGTACAGCAACATCAGTTGTAGCATGTCACAGAAATAAGATAACATCTCTATCAAATTAACACTGCATTCTAATTACATGTTAAAAAGCAAGAAGAGAAATATGATCCACACATACCACTCCTGGCAAAAGAAAAACACTGAGCAATTATTCTTAACTACTAATGTTCCAGTGGCAAACTTACTGTGGCGTTTAAATTCCTTCTGCAGTTTACTGATCTGGTTGCTTTTTATCCTGTTTCCAGATAGAGTTTTCACTTTCTTTGGTTTCAATGTAGTCTTTAGACTGGGTCCTGCCCTCGCATCTACCACCTGGAAGAAAACACTGAATATTTAATACCATTTTTAAAATGACACCGGTGTATCTCTTTGGTTCAGACCCACCCCTATTTAAGGGAGCCATACTAGTTTTCATACTCAAGTGTTTGAGCGGCTCCCTGTGCACTTTTAATCAACATAGGATATAAATAAATACTATTTATCTAGTAAGGCTTTCCTTTGAAGCAGATGGGCATTATTGGGAGTCTACTGAGGAAAAATGTAAATTGATTTATATACAGAGGGTAGTCATTACTAGACAGCCCAATCAGGCTGAAAAGCCTACCGACAACAAACATTTCTACAGACGTTTTACAGTTCACAACGTTTTCGTATATTTTTTATTTCACCTACACCACAAAGCAGTAAGACAGCCATATTTGTCATTCCAATTTTAGACTGACGAAAAACAAGAACAAGAGAAGGATCTGGTTGCTTTTTATCCTGTTTCCAGATAGAGTTTTCACTTTCTTTGGTTTCAATGTAGTCTTTAGACTGGGTCCTGCCCTCGCATCTACCACCTGGAAGAAAACACTGAATATTTAATACCATTTTTAAAATGACACCGGTGTATCTCTTTGGTTCAGACCCACCCCTATTTAAGGGAGCCATACTAGTTTTCATACTCAAGTGTTTGAGCGGCTCCCTGTGCACTTTTAATCAACATAGGATATAAATAAATACTATTTATCTAGTAAGGCTTTCCTTTGAAGCAGATGGGCATTATTGGGAGTCTACTGAGGAAAAATGTAAATTGATTTATATACAGAGGGTAGTCATTACTAGACAGCCCAATCAGGCTGAAAAGCCTACCGACAACAAACATTTCTACAGACGTTTTACAGTTCACAACGTTTTCGTATATTTTTTATTTCACCTACACCACAAAGCAGTGAGACAGCCATATTTGTCATTCCAATTTTAGACTGACGAAAAACAAGAACAAGAGAAGTTATGCATTGTGCCATATTTCACTAATAAATGAGTGAGGGTGGGTGGGAAGGGGAAGAGCAGAAGCCAAGGTCTCCAGACTTTTTTTTTTTAAATAATTTTATTTAGGGGCTGGCAGGCTGCATGATAGTGAAAGGCGCTGGACTCCCACATGGCCCACTGTGGTTCGCGTCCCGGACCTGGTAGCTTTCTTTCTCACTTCCTCTCTCTCATCAAACTGGAAAATAATAATAATAATAAATAAAGTTAAAATTTTAAAATAATAAATAAATAAGAATTTCATTTAACTTTATTTATTTTAACTAGACCATAGAGGGACAAAGTCTGGGGGCGGGAAATGAGAAAGAAAGCCATCAGGTCCGGGACTCGAACCATGGTCAGCCATGTGGGAAAATCCAGTACCCTTAACGACCACACAACCTGCCGGCCCTCCAGACTTACTTTTTATGCTCTTTTCACTATACACCTTAAACCAAGATCAGTTACAGGGTGGCAACAGCGTTGTCTTGAACTTTAGCCTGGCCACGGATCTAACCTACACAGTCCTATTTTTTATTATGTCCATTCACGTTTACCTACTATAATAATGTAATATTGTCACCAAAGGACAGTGTAAAGCTACTGTAGGAAAAAAGGTAAAGAAAAATGTCTGTCTACTTAAAAACAAATAGTTTGTACAAATTCTGTAAGTCTGAAAGCTAGAATTCAAAGAAATAAGAATTAACAGTGTTGTTCTGGTCATCAAAAGTAGTTTTTGAAAATTGAAGTGAGCTGGCCCTGCAGTGCAGCAGTTAAGCTTGTGTATAAAACGATCACAACACAGGGACCAGCAGATTAGTCGCTGGATTCCTACATAGTCAACTGTAGTTCAAGTCCTGGACTCAGGTACTTAAAATTCACGCTGAGCAAGTGTGCTTGTGTACTCAAACTCCCAAGAGGAGAATGGAGAAGGGATCGTGGCATGGCCATCCCCCCCAGGAGATGATTTCTCACTTTCTGTCTCTCAGGAGAGCGCATAAGCCCCATAGCAAAAATCTCTTTCTCTCTCAAAAAAATAAAATAAAGATGACACATGGTTCAAGCCCAACAGCTTGAAAAACATGCAAGGCACAGGTGCATGCCCAAAATCCTGACAGGATGGAGAAATGGAGGAAAGAGAATTATGGTGTGACCACACCCCACTGGGTGCACTCACACGCTCGCTCGTGCTCTATCTCTGTTGGGTGTACACATTTTCTGGCAAATTTTTTAAAAAAGAATTCTGGAGCCCGCAGGGGGTATTGGAGCTAAGGCGCTGGACTCCCACATAGCCACCTACAGTTCGAGTCCCGGACCTGGAGGCTCGCTTTCTCACTTTCTCTCTCTCTCATGTCCAATTCTAATAATATCAATAATAAATAATACTAAATAATTTTTTAAAAAAGAATACCAGTGACATCCGAAAGCAAATGTGTAGACATAACAACATCCATTTAATGTGTCAGTCTGATCTCAACTATTAGATTTTATTTATTTATTTATTTTGGGGGAGGTTTTTGCTATAGAGCATGTGTGCTCACCAGAAAGAGAGGGACAGAGAGACAGAAAGCGAGCAATCACCCTCCCCGGGGGGGGGGGGGGGGATGGCCACACCGCAATCCCTTCTCCTCCATTCTCCTCTTGGGATCTTGGGCATGCACGCACACGTCCCCAGCATGAGTTTAAGCCACCGGGTCCAGGACCGGAACCGCAGTCAACTACATAGGAGTTCAGCGACATAGACATTATACTAACTACTGGTCCCTCAACTATTAGATTTAAACAGAAAATGATAGTTTGCATCTAATTAGGTAGTTATTAAGTGTTCTACTTGACTCTCATCCACTTCTCATGATAGTTTTTGATACAGCTATTTCCTTTGTACTTCATAAATAAATGTAACTGTCCAAAGTCCACAACTAGTAAGTGGTAAAAGAAAAGCAAGATTCAATTTCAGGCCTGAGGGCCCAGAGGTGGCGTGGTTAAGGTGCTGGATTCCCACATGGCTGACCATGGCTCAAGTCCTGAACCTGGTGGCTTCCTTTCTCACTTTCTCTTTTCCTCTCTCTGGCCAAATTAAAGAAAATAATGATAGTGAATAAAATTAAATATAAATAAAGAATTAAGGTTTTATGTATTATTTTTATTATTAATAAATGATTTGAAAACAAAAGCAAATTCAGGCCTGATTCTAAAACCTGTGTGCTTATTATTAATACCAACCTAGTTCAAAGAAACACATTATCCTAGGAGGTGAAGAAGAGATCCATGCTTACTGAACTCTGAGAATGATTGGATTAAGCCTAAAAATGCATGAATATTCACCCTAAGTCTCCAAAAGGGGGATTCTGGATCCAGCCTTGGAGAACTGTCACACCAGGCTACTCTATTCAAATGGTGGCAAAATGTTAAGCAATGTATCTGGGCATCAGCCAGTGTATTGTATTTTTTTTTTTTAAGTATTTTATTCTTTTCAAATGTTTCTACCCTGGGGACATAAATACTTCCTAAATTAGATGAAAATTAATGTTACTTAAATATGTCAGAGATATTGGGGCCAGCAGGTGGTGTGGTAGTTAAGGCACTGGACACTCCCAACATGGCTGACCACAGTTTGATTCCTGTACCTGGTGGCTTTCTTTTCCACTCTCCCTCTCTCTCCGTGTGTCTCCCTCTGATCAAATTAAAATAAATGAATGAATCGATAAAATTTAAATATACATAATCAGAGATATCATTTAGAAAGAAGAAAAGTAAACTGACGTGATTCCAGTTTTTTTTTGATCCTGCTGGCAACTTCTTCCATCTTTTCACAAGCAGGACACAGGCATTGCAGATGTCTCCTGAACGGGTTTCATGCAACCTGACAAGAAAACAGTCAAACCTTTATCCATCTCCTTTACCTTCAAGAATTCCTTTCCGGGAGAAGGAATATGCACTTCAGGTTTACAGATGCAATGTCTAATTATCCTGGGTGACCCAGCTACATTGTTTCTGTAGTGTATTTCAGAAATGTAATTAACTTCTAAATGCAAGGAACCAATGCTCTGCACTATAATGTGATCATTTAAAAATTAAAAAAAAAAATAAAGATTTAAAAATTAAGTTAACAGTAAAACTTAAAGACTTAGAAGAGATCTTGGTCACCGAGGTTTTAAACAAAGTTAATTAATCCTTGAAGAATGTAGGTCTTTCATAAACAAATGCCACCCTTGAAGAAAAACAATGTGCTGCGATACTCTAGTTTCACAACAAAAAATAGCACCAAAGCACTGTAATTTTTACAAAGCAATTCTATTTGCAAAAGGAGAAAATATATGACTTGTCGAGCTATTTTTAAAATTTTATCTGATGTCTTTTCATTTACTTCATTTTTTCTAAACTGTAAATATGTATTAAAAATACTGACTTTACATATAACATACAAAATGGAAAGTGAAGACATGAAGACAAAAATGTGACTGGCCTTCTACAGGTCAGTGGTTAAGGGAGACAGACATCACATGGCTGACCATGGTTCAAATAATGTCCCCAGCAACACGCCAAGGCTGTGCACATGCTCACAATCCTGACTGGAGGGAGGAATGGAGGAAAGGGGATTCTGGCATGACCAGATCCCATTAGGGGCTGCTTTCTCTCTCTGGCAAGCAAATGTGCCCTCTGGCAATTAAAAAAAAAAAGAGAGAGAGAAAAATGTCATTTAAAAAGGGATGGCCAATAGATTCTTTCTGACAACTTGCAAAGTGAAGTCCAAGATTTACAATAGATGATCAACAAGCATCTTGATAAGAAAAATCAAACAGTAAAGTTAATTCCTAACATGGAAATGGTTCAACATTTTATTTTACCCAAATATTTGTGGGAAAGTAAATTCCATTTTTATTAAGCAGAAGTTTATTGTCAAAAGATAAATGAGGGCTGGCATAGTGGTGAAGGTGCTGGACTCCCACATGGGAAAGTGCAGTTCAAATCCAGGACCTGGTAATTTGCTTTCTCAGTTTACCTCTCTCACTGTTATGACTAATAGTAAATTTTAAAATAATAATAAATATAATTAAATAAACAATTCATAAAAATCAAGATAAAATTTGAGATATACACTAAATTATTATTAACTATAATTACACAACATACTATTAGGTTGTTGGGAAAGTCATGATGTATTTTTCTGTTTTTTTTTTTTTGAATTATTTATTTAATTTGTATTTATTTATTCATTTTTAACTTGACCAAAGAGAGAGAGAGTGAGGGAAAGTGAGAGAGCAAGCCACCAAGTCCAGCACATGAAACAAGATTAACCATGTCAGAGTCCAGCGCTCTTAACCACCACATCACTTTCCAGTCCCTTTCCGAAGCCAAAACGCACCATGACTTTGCCAATGAGGCAATAGAAAACAGTAGAAATTGTTCCTCTTATATATCTGTAATTTTATATTCACTAACGAACAAATCTTTATTTCGAACGGGGTGGTCCAGCGATTGGCATGGTGGTTAAGGCAGCTGGATGGCCACAAGCTGATTGTGCAATTTGAGTTCCAGACATGGCAGCTTGAAGGCACATTCACGTGTGTGCCCAAAGTCCCAAAAGGAGAATGGAAGATGGGGACTGTGGTGTGGTCATCTGCCTGGGGAGTGATTTTCACTTTTCTTCTCTCTGCCTCTCTCTAGCAAGCACAGGAGCCCAAATATTGGATAACTAGTATTATAAGAGAGAATAAGGACAATTTTTTAAAAATCTACCTGAGTATCCTGAAGTAAATGACAAAAAAAGAGTTCGTCAAGCTACAACTATAAGAGGCTTCACAATTAATCTGGTAGCTCCTCATAACCTGGTAAAAGCAGGCTGCCAGTCATATTTGATTCATCTTACGACCTGGTGCCTTACACAGCCTAGATTAGAATCAAAGTGGTTTTCATTATTAGCACACAGTACTCCAATCACTTTGCTTGGAAATACATCCATACACTACAATTTTTTTCACTCCAAGAATGGAACAAACATCAAATGATCTTACCCGAAACAGCTCTGGAAGTCCTTTTCGTAGCGTTTGCTGTCGGTGAATCGAGAACTGGAGGACTTTGCTCTGCAAATACAGCAGCCCTCTATACTTCGGTACATCTTTGGCTTGTGAAAACCAAACATCTTTTCTTCTGGGCAGCAGTCTGTAAAGCCAAGAGAATTGACACAGCTTTGTTGAAGGCTTTAATAAAAAACCATTGAGTTTCCTCTGCTCTGCCGCCTCCCAGGCAATCTGGTGTTCCATGACCTAGCCAGACAGGTGGGCTCTGGGGTCTTGAAGACCTCCAAGATTGGACAAATGTAGAAAACCCACAAAGTAGCTCAGTTGCTCAAGGAGGTCTGTGCTTGCTGCAAACGCACGTTCTGAAAACGGGGGAGTGTTTTTAAAAATCAAGTTTGTAAGCAAAAATACCAAACTCAGTCTAGCCTTGGGCACCAGCTGCAGGATAATGGAGCCACATGGGAAGGCCCAGAGTTTAGATCCCTGGTCAACCCACACATACTGAGTGGCCACCCCCAGGATCCTGGCCACCTAGAAAACTGGCAGTATGAGGGAATCGTGATTAGATGAGACCCTGAGTAAGGTACCCTCCTCCTCTCCCTCACAAAATAAAAACGAAATTTTTAAAAAAATTGTTTTTAAACCCCAGAACTCTCCCCACAATCCTATAAAACGATGAAATCACACAGAATCTAGGATGCATCCTAAAATGTTAAGTGAAGGCAACCTTTTTGTCTGGTACCTTGCCATTTACGTGATTCCCCCTGGGGAAGTTCTGAGCATTTACTGTGACCACTATGGGATACCAAACACAGAAGTAGACCAGTGTGCATCAGCCCACAGCACTTCGCCCTATGGGAAACCAGAGGGGATTTCTTCTGTGATAAATGGGAAGTTCTGAGCAGTCAAGCTTGGCCCTGAATTGAAACTGCTGAAAGGAAGATGTAAAATTCACAAAAATCCAAGGTTAAAAAATAAAAATGTCACACATGATTAAGACAAAGTAGGAACAATCTCACGATACCTGCCCATTTTCCTGCCCCTCGGTTGTTACCCAGGTTTGGGGAGCCTGCCTACAAAGCTTGGTGCCTCAGTAATAGTGGGAGGTACAAATGCTTTAAAAAAGTAAAAAAAAAACTTAACATCTAGGAAGCAAGGAACTGCTCTAAGACTGGATATAAAAAGTAGCTGGCAGCACCCTAGCAAGTATTTCCAATGTCCAAACCAAAGGTCAACTTCACCAGAACATCTGGACCAAGCCAAGTGTTGCAAGGCAGTGAATACAGAAACTAAATCCGAATAGACAAGCCCCGGGTAAGTGTGCACGTATGTGTGCGCACATGTGTAAAGGGTCTAACTATAAATTACCTCAAAGTATTATATAAGCCATATAAAGCATATAAATGAGAAAATAATAGTAATACGGATTACTTTTGTGCCCAGTTTTACAGGTTATCATCATAGAACACCACCCTTTTAAAGCTGTTTTAGAAATAAACCTAAGTAATATGAGTAGAGCAAAAAATTCAGTATTTGTTTCTGGATTATCTCTTGTTTGATCCCACTCCATCCCAATTCTGCTTAGTACACCTGAGCAAGTACGACCTGAACTGATTCAGAGGTAACCAAATATCCAGTGTTTCTGTGTGTGTTGGGAGGGTAGAGGGAAGAGCTCTAAAATATGGACAAAGGTTTTATAATGTTTTAAGAAAACATTTTAAAAGATTGTTATTAGCAAACAGTTGACTAGGGACCAGCAGATAGCATAATGGTTCAGTTGCTGGACTCCCACGTAGTTGAGCGTGGTTAGTCACAGACCCGATGGCTTAACCTCACACTGGGCGCCATGTGTGCTGGTGCCCAAAATTCTAAAGAGAATGGAGGAGAAGGGACTGCGACATGGCCATCCCGCCTGGTGGGGGCGGTGATTTCTCATCGTCTCTCTTTACATGTCTTGGGAGAGATCATGCACCCTGTAAGAAAAAAAATCTCTCAAAAAAAAATAAATAAATAAAAATCAGGACCAGCAGTTGGCGTAATGACTATGTCGCTAGATTCCCACATAGTCGACCGCAGTTCGCATCCCGGACCCGGTGGCTTCAAACTCACACCGGGCGCATGTGCATGCGTGCCCAAGATCCTGAGAGGAAAATGGAGGAGAAGGGATTGTGGCGTGGCCATCCCCCCTGGGAGGTGATTTCTCGCTTTCTCTCTGTCTCTGTCTCTCTGGCAAGTGCACACGCCCTATAGCAAAAACTTCTCAAAAAAAAAAAATCAAGAAAAGAATTGGCTAGAAATTGAAGCGTTCCTTTTAAGCAGGAGTTACTGTTAATCAAGTGTTCATTCCTCTTGAATGTTTCTGCTGATGAAGGACCAGGCAAAGGAGGGGGACGGAGCAAGAAGAAAGGTATTAATTTCAGTAATTCAGTCCAAACTGAAAACTGTTAAAACAAGAAAACAAAATATTCTTAGTTAATAATCATTTTAATTAAATGCTTGGAAACTGGATTATTTTTGAGAGAGAGAGAAAGAAAAAATGAGGAAGTTACTCTCATTTACATGTATAGTAAAAAAAGTACAGTGAAGCCTGGTGAAATGAGGCCTATTTGTTTTCCATCTAACACGCCCACATGGAAATTGAAAAGAAAATGGCCTCCTGAAGAGAAGGGTCACATGTTGCTTTGGAAAAAAACAATGACAAATGACAGGGGATTACAGAAACAAGAAAGTGGAGCAGAAGTTATTGCTTTAATTCGTATATTCCTGCTTTAAGGCAAAACATAATACCACTCTTGCGCTTGTACCATCTTGCGGTCTTCTCCAAACTCCCTAAGCATTACCATCAAGAAGGTCAAGAGTCCTCAGTTCCTCTTACACTCCCCAGCTTCATCAATGGCTCTAGGAAACTTCAGCCTCCCTTCTCAGCAAGGACAAAGGAAGCACAGCAAAAAAGCCCAGTTCACGCCATTAATACACACACCAAATCCTATTATGGTGGACAGATTCCTATCTCTACTCTCACAATCCCCTTCCCCTCCCCCCCGGGTAAACATGCCATCAAAACTGTAGAGCAATCAGGTCATCTCTAGGATACGGACTCCCCTCGCCAAAGTCAGAGTTGCCCAGGAAGCCACTGTTTGTGCCAGTTATTACACTGGTGAGCTGTTTAGGAATGCTATGGGCAGAGAGAGGCTTACTTTTTAATCAGCAACTATTATCATGACTCAAGTATTCATCTTTAACGATTTTTTGGAGGGAGGGGCAAGGATTTCCATGCACTGAACCACAAGCCCCTGGCACGGTATTCCATCCTTCGTCTGAGGAATATTCTTAGATAACAAGGGAAACAGCCTAATGCCTCATGATTTGTAAGTCTTCTTTATGTAGCTCTGTGACCTTAGTGTCTGACAAAATTCCTCCTAAAAGTCTGGGACAGATCTAAGTCCTCCTGTTCACCCTCTTCTGGGCGGTGCTCAATGAGAAATGCAGTGAAGGGGCAGACACCCTGATGCCACACACAAACAGCACATGCGCCTTTGACTGGATAACTACTTAAGAAACCTAGTAAGCCTTTTCTGAGCTTATCCCTGCACTGGAGAGGCACCTGGAAATGAATCTGCAGCGAATACACAGGGGTTTCATTCTGGGCACTGTTTACAGTAAACCAGTTAAGCAGTGGTTGGTGCTTAACCATTCCGAGGTTTGGGGAGTCCTGAGATTAACGGAAAGTATTTGCACAAAATCTGCAGGCCTACCGCTGTTAAAAACAAACAAACAAACAAAAACCCCTACCTAATCTCTGGAGGAAAACCAAAGACACAAAATGGCCTCGGAAACCAAGTGACTTTATATATTTGGGAGGCTGAAGAGTTTCTGCTGTTTCAAGAAATCTGTCTCTCTGGCAAGTGCACACGCCCTATAGCAAAAACTTCTCAAAAAAAAAAAATCAAGAAAAGAATTGGCTAGAAATTGAAGCGTTCCTTTTAAGCAGGAGTTACTGTTAATCAAGTGTTCATTCCTCTTGAATGTTTCTGCTGATGAAGGACCAGGCAAAGGAGGGGGACGGAGCAAGAAGAAAGGTATTAATTTCAGTAATTCAGTCCAAACTGAAAACTGTTAAAACAAGAAAACAAAATATTCTTAGTTAATAATCATTTTAATTAAATGCTTGGAAACTGGATTATTTTTGAGAGAGAGAGAAAGAAAAAATGAGGAAGTTACTCTCATTTACATGTATAGTAAAAAAAGTACAGTGAAGCCTGGTGAAATGAGGCCTATTTGTTTTCCATCTAACACGCCCACATGGAAATTGAAAAGAAAATGGCCTCCTGAAGAGAAGGGTCACATGTTGCTTTGGAAAAAAACAATGACAAATGACAGGGGATTACAGAAACAAGAAAGTGGAGCAGAAGTTATTGCTTTAATTCGTATATTCCTGCTTTAAGGCAAAACATAATACCACTCTTGCGCTTGTACCATCTTGCGGTCTTCTCCAAACTCCCTAAGCATTACCATCAAGAAGGTCAAGAGTCCTCAGTTCCTCTTACACTCCCCAGCTTCATCAATGGCTCTAGGAAACTTCAGCCTCCCTTCTCAGCAAGGACAAAGGAAGCACAGCAAAAAAGCCCAGTTCACGCCATTAATACACACACCAAATCCTATTATGGTGGACAGATTCCTATCTCTACTCTCACAATCCCCTTCCCCTCCCCCCCGGGTAAACATGCCATCAAAACTGTAGAGCAATCAGGTCATCTCTAGGATACGGACTCCCCTCGCCAAAGTCAGAGTTGCCCAGGAAGCCACTGTTTGTGCCAGTTATTACACTGGTGAGCTGTTTAGGAATGCTATGGGCAGAGAGAGGCTTACTTTTTAATCAGCAACTATTATCATGACTCAAGTATTCATCTTTAACGATTTTTTGGAGGGAGGGGCAAGGATTTCCATGCACTGAACCACAAGCCCCTGGCACGGTATTCCATCCTTCGTCTGAGGAATATTCTTAGATAACAAGGGAAACAGCCTAATGCCTCATGATTTGTAAGTCTTCTTTATGTAGCTCTGTGACCTTAGTGTCTGACAAAATTCCTCCTAAAAGTCTGGGACAGATCTAAGTCCTCCTGTTCACCCTCTTCTGGGCGGTGCTCAATGAGAAATGCAGTGAAGGGGCAGACACCCTGATGCCACACACAAACAGCACATGCGCCTTTGACTGGATAACTACTTAAGAAACCTAGTAAGCCTTTTCTGAGCTTATCCCTGCACTGGAGAGGCACCTGGAAATGAATCTGCAGCGAATACACAGGGGTTTCATTCTGGGCACTGTTTACAGTAAACCAGTTAAGCAGTGGTTGGTGCTTAACCATTCCGAGGTTTGGGGAGTCCTGAGATTAACGGAAAGTATTTGCACAAAATCTGCAGGCCTACCGCTGTTAAAAACAAACAAACAAACAAAAACCCCTACCTAATCTCTGGAGGAAAACCAAAGACACAAAATGGCCTCGGAAACCAAGTGACTTTATATATTTGGGAGGCTGAAGAGTTTCTGCTGTTTCAAGAAATCTGTTTTGTTTTTTGGTTTTTTTTTAGAAAACTTCTTGCCTAGTCCCACTTGTACAATATTAAATTATTCCTCCAGAACACTCTTGTTTATTCAAATGACACTGTCAGCTATAAAACTATTTAACTTCTGCATCTATTCTCATAGGCGTAACATCATTCCGCACCGTGTTTAAATAGAAGGAAGCCAAGACCATCTGCTTCCTAATTGATGAACAGTTACAGTCGAGAGCGGACCCCATACAATCTCACCCACTCTTAAGCATGTGTTTGGGGAAAGCAGAAGAAAATAAGCTTTGAGATAAAGCCAAAAAATCAGGAAAGACTCTTGATGAAAAACTGTCATTTGTCTTCTAAAATTAGATAGTGGTGATGGCTGCAGAACTGTGAATATAGTAAGAGCCACGGAACTGTACACAGTGCAAGAATGACTTTGTAGTATGTGAGTTATAGCTCAATAAGCCTGCTTTTAAAAATAAAAATAAACTGGGTTAGGAATTATCATCTTTGTAACCTCAGCATGTAGGACAGTGCCTGTCTCATCGTTGGTTGATTCAACTTTTTTAAAAGCTTTACATTTTACGAAGCACTCTAACTACTGTCAGCAAAATACTTACAAATTTTTTAAATACTATAACAATTAAAATCGACCACACTAGATTACAGTTCGGTTCAATTTAATGGACTCTCCTAAAGTAAATAAGATTAAAGTTAACAACTAAATCAGCAAAAGCAACCAAAGAAATAATTATATAAATAAAATATATGTACATTTAAAAAGTGAAGTTTTTAAAATATAACGACTGGGCCAGCTGGTGATATGGTGGTTAAAGCACTTGGATCCCACATGGTCAACTGTATGGTATGAGTCCTGGACCCCGCTGCTTGAAAAACACACTGGGTGGGACCAGCAGGTAGCGTAATGGCTATGTCGCTGGACTCCCATGTAGCCGGCCACAGTTCGCGGCCCGGACCTGGTGGCTTAAACTCACGCTGGGCGCATGTGCATGTGTGCCCAAGATCCCAAGAGAAGAATGGAGGAGAAGGGATTGCAGCGTGGCCATTCACCCTGGGGGGTGATTTCTCACTTTCTATCTCTCTGTCTCTCTGGCGAGCGCAGGCACCCTATAGCAAAAACCTCTAAAAAAAAAAAAAAAAACACTGGATGTATGCCCAAAATCTCAAGAGGAGAATGGGAGAGAAAGAATTGTTGTGTAGTCATCTTCCCTAAGGGAATTATTTTTCTTTTCTAAGAATTATTTATTTTGGGGCCAGCAGGTAGTGTGGTGGTTAATGGCACTGAACTCCCATATGAACGGCCACAGTTCAAGTTCTCAGACCTCGCGGCTTGCTTTCTCACTTTCTCTCTCCCTCTGTTCCTCTCTAGTCCAAATTTTAAAAAATAAGTTAAATAAATTTTTAAAAATAATTATTTCATGTTACTTACTATTAATTTGACCAGAGAGACCAAATTTTTAAAAATAAGTAAAGTTAAATAAATTTTTAAAAATAATTATTTCATGTTACTTATTATTAATTTGACCAGAGAGAGAGAAAGAGAAAGTGAGAAAGCAAACGGCCAGATCCAGGACTCAAACTGTTGTCAGCCATGTGGGAGTCCAGTGCCCCAACCACCATGCCACCTTGCTGGCCACCAAGGAATGCTTTCTTTCTTTCTTTTTTTTTAATTATTTATTTTATTTATTCATTCATTTTATTTTTAGTTTGACCAGAGAGAGACAGAGGGTGAGAGTGAGAGAGAGAGGAAGTGAGAAAGCAAGCCACCAGATTCAGGACTTGAACCCTGGTTGGCCATGTGGGAGTGTCCAGCGCCTTAACCACCATGCCACCTGCTGGTCCCACGGAATGCTTTCTTATAGTTTTTCTTTCTCTGGGAAAGTGCATGTGCCTTATAGCACAATTTTAAAAATAAAAAAAATGTGGGACCAGCAGTTGGCATAAGGGCTGTCACTGGACTCCCACGTAGTTGACCGTGGTTGGAGTCCCAAACCCAGTGGCTTAAACTCATGCTGTGTGCGTGCATGCCCAAGATCCCAAGAGGAGAATGGAGAAGGGATTGCAGCTTGGCCATCCCCCCTGGGGGTGATTTCTTGCTTTCTGTCTCTCTGTCACTCTCTGTCTTTCTGGCAAGCACACACACCCTATAGCAAAAAACCTCTCCCAAAAAAAGAAAGAAAAAATAATAACAAATAAATAAATAAAATGTTTAATGCAACAATCAACTCCAAACATGTTTCGATCGACTTGAGGTTTTTTCTACCTTAAATCTAAGTCTTAGAGGTCAGGTGGTGGCACTGCAGTAATGCTGCTGGACCTGTGAGATGGGTCCTGCATGAGTCCTAGAACCCTTCCTGAGCAACAAGGTGCACGTGGCAGTCTGAAACATGAGTGACTGCAGTGTAGGACCCTGCTGGGAGAGCTCTCACCCCATCCAGTTAAATAAATACATTTTTAAAAAAGAAAAAGCTGCAGGCTTTACATAAACCTAATGATCAACTTAATGAAGGCATGGGGAATGTAACTTTGGTGTTGCAACAAGGTAAGAATGCAGTAGCCACTGTGTATCAAAGATACAAAAAGGCCAATTCTAATCTAATGAGATTGTGCAGTCAAAGATCAGGGACAGTGTCTTAATTTTTTACAACTACTTCAATACACATACTACAATTTACTGAGCATAATATAAATGGGGGGTTCAGAGCAATCGCTTAACTCTGAAGAAACGGATGCTATTTTAGAAGCTTTCTGATAAGTAACTTTGTACTTAAAGATGCCTTCTTAGGAATCTTAATACAGAACACACTTATTTTAAGCTTCAACAAGGAAACTATAAATACTAAAAGACAAATTTTAAAGCCTTTCATACTGCTTTTTTTCTTTTAAAGTTTTGCTTTAGGGCATGTCCCCCAGATAGGATGGACATGCCACAATCCATTCTCTCAGGAATTTGGGCATGCAAGCACTTGAGCCAGGCATGATTTTCAAGCTGCCAGTTCAGTTTGAATGGAGCAGTCAGCCATGTGGCTCCAGCTACCTGAACCTCCATGCCACCTGCTGGCCCTTAGTATCTTTTTAAGTATATAATTGGGAGTGAAAAGATGAAAGTTTTTCCTTATCTTTTTAAGTCTTATAAGGGTACTGACTTACTATTTTAAAAATGGAAAGGGTTCTTAGGATGAATTTAAGAGTTATTAGGCTCCCCTTAGTATGCTTTGAAGGACAACTAATAATTACTCAGTAAGTTCTTTCTTCCAGCTTTTTTATATTAAAAAATATCTTTCAAAACTCAAAAATGTCATTGGATGGATGGACTTAAATGAGGAGCACTAGAGAAGGAGCCAGCGGTGGTACATCAACAGTTAACTTCACAACTTGTCCATGTCCTCTTGGAAACTGAAATCCTGATGTGCACAAATTAGGGGAGCAACCCCCAAATGAAAGTACCCTTAGTTTTCAATAGTGGAAATCTTGTAGCTTTTGGGCACCAGCAGATGGCGTAACGGCTACATTGCTGGACTCCCACATAGTCTACCTAGGTTCAAGTCCCAGGACCGTGGCTTAAACTCACACCAGGCGCGTGTGTGCATGCGTGCCCAAGATCTCGAGAGGAAAATGGAGAAGGAAGTGCGGTGTGATCATCCCCCATGGGGGATGAGTTCTCGCTTTCTGCCTCTCTCTGGTGAGAGCAAGCACCCTATAGCAAAAACCTCTCCAAAAAATAAAATAAAATAAAAAAATAAAAAGAATGCAACTCCGGGGCCAGCAGGTGGCGAGGGGGTTAAAGGCACTGGATTCCTACATGGTCACCCACGTTTGAGTCCCAGACTTGGCAGCTTGCTTTCCCACTTTCCCTTTCTCTCTCCCTCTCTCTCTGTCTCTGTCTGGTCAAATTAAAAAATAATAACAAATGGAATTAAGTAAATAAATAATTCCTTAAAGAATGCGAATCATTTCTGTGCAGAGAGGGGTAGGCTGTTAAGTGAAACAAGCAAGTTCAGTAAAATAGTTCCACAGTTATCTTACAGGATGTTTTAAAAAGGAGACTTTATGTACACAAACTATTTTTTAAACAGTTTTTTAAAATTATTTTATCTTTATTTATTTATTTTATTTTAATTTGACCAGAGAGGAACAGAGAGAGAGAGAGAGAAAGTGAGAAAGCAAGCCACCAGATCCAGGACTTAAACATGGTCAGCCATGTGGGAGTCCAACACCCTTAACCACCATGCCACCTGCCGGCCCCTTTGGAGAGCTTTTTAAAAGATGGTGAACAATGGTCGCCTCTGAAGTGTACATGCATGAAGGACGCTTACTTTCACTTTCCTGTCTTCCATACTATTTTTTAAACAAAAGCATTCTTCCCCAATAACCTTGCTGATCTTCACACTTCCACTTAACTACAGAAGAATATGTAAAACCCCAGAGAACTTAAATAAAACTTCCTCAAATACATACAGACGGAATGATACACATTAGAAAATACACTGCACACAGAGGGAAGACTACAGAATAGACTGGAAAGATCAGCACACACACAGCAGAATGGGAAGGAACGGCAGAGAAGGGACAAGCAAAAGATTTGTCAAGTGGGAAGGAAGCAGCGGTGAACAAAGGCAAAAAGCCAAGCGAGCAGAGACAACGTTGCAGTGAAGGGGGTGCATTTTCTTTAGCGTAGGAACTTTACATGGCAGAAGAGGAAAGAAAGAAAAACATCAGAAAAACCCCTTGTGATCACAGGAGGGGGGGATCCCCGAGTCGCAGTAACTGGCAATGCCACCACTGACACCACTGGAGCCCATCCATGCTACCTGAGTCCTGTAAGCACAGGACGCCCAGCCAACGCTAGCACTGTAACTGCAGCAACACTCCAGGAAAGGGCAACAGGACTGAGTGTTTGGTATCCACCCGCTGCTAGGCCACTGGCTTGCAGCGTTCCCCAACAACCAGGCAGGTCTGGTGAGCACTTAGGGAAGCCATGGAACAATAAAACATTATTTCCTCTCACCTGCTTCTAGATACCAACTGCTTCCGGACATCAAAGGTCCTGATTCTACTGAATTGCTTTTTAAGGGATGAAAACTGAGCAATATATACCCCACTTTGCCTATAGCTCCTCCAAACATGTACCCAACCTCTGAGAAATTACATAGTAAAGCACTTAAAACAGGCTGTTTGTGGGATTCACACTTGGCAGAAGGACCTAAAACTCATCCTCTGTAAGAAAGGAGCTAAGCTCTGAAATAAATCTTCAATGGAAGTAGAGCAGGTTAAAACTAAAACTAAAATCATACAAACCCAGGTCTCTGGATTTGAGACAGTGTTAAATACACACACACAAAGCTTTCCCCCTATTTTACAAATGCAAAAGGGGTGGGTGGAGGGAAACAACTTCAGTCTCCCATTTGTAGATTAAAAATGATTCTGGGGGCCAGCAGGTGGCATAGTGGTTGGGGTTCTGGACTCCCCGACATGGGTGAAAAGTTCAAGTCCTGGACAAGGCGGCTTGCTTTCTAACTTTCCCTTTCTCTCCCACTTTGGTCAAACTGGATAAATGATGACAATGACAAGTAAAATTAAGTAAGTAATTTTTTAAAAGTGATTCTGGTGGCTGAGAAAGCTGAAAGGGCTGGAGAGAGTATCTGCTAGTTAGTCTGGTGGAAAAGGCACTGTAATGAATCGACTTGCAGTCTATTTCTAATTCCTTCTTCACAACTGAATAGGAAGTCACTTCTAATTTTACGTACCCCTCCGCCACAGGGGGGGTGAAGTCTCACTTCTACTTTCCAGGCATGCTATGAAGCACGTGTATGACGATAGCCACGTATGTGTACTGTTTATTTCTTTGAAATTTAATAGACGTAAATTCTGTCTGCCCAGGATACAGCCAGCAAATTAAACTGAGGGGAGAAGGCTGATTTTCTTAAGTCTTCTTTTAAGCCCAGGCTTATGGGAAAAGAGGAACTTTAGCCTTTCCAGGGAGACTTTTAAGGCCATGAAACAAGCCAGTATTCATTTCTGTGAAGCTCTTCTATTTTCAAGCATGACAAAAACGTCAAGAAAGGGGGTACTGGTAGCACACACGCCTGATCTGACCCAAACCTCAGCAAAGTTCCTTAACCTTCATCACCCCATTTCCCATCTGTAAAATAGATCAATCCCAACTCTGCACTGGAGCGTCTGTACAACACCAACACGAGCGGGCACAAGCACTCAGCACTGACCCGCCTTTTTATGCACAAGTCCTTCCTCCTCGTTTCCCTCTCACATTTCGGCCATCATTTTGTCTCCCGGTTTTGTGTTATCTGTCCTCAGGAAGTTACTGCCACCCTCCTGGTAATTCCCTAATATGCAATGTCCTGGCCCAACCTATTCCCCCTCTTTGCTCTTGATCAGTAAATATGGCCAATTGACCATTCACCCACCCTTTTAAATGCCCTACACTGATTACATAAACTTCCTTCTCCAAATCTGCTCTTCCTGTGTTGACCTCGCTTGGTCATCATCCACAGTCCCACTTACCAAAATCTAAGTCAATTGGGCTCTTCCTTCACATCCTCCACAGCACCCTCCCCTCGCCCCTAGTTTAAGGAGTTTACAGATGTCCTTAGAGATTCTGCTTCTTTCTTCATGTCTCTGCTTCACATCTGTCCCTCATTAAGGTACCTGAACTCCTGAGAAACCCCTGACTTCCCTGCCCGCTTCACACAGGTGGCATCTTCCTACTAAAGTTCGAATATTAATCATCCTCTCCAAGGTACCAACACTGGCCTCATGACGGTATCTCAACTCTTTGGCAAGGAATCCAAAGCTTTTCGGTGTCTGGCCTGCCTACCAGCTGCTCCCAACTTGGAATTCGAATATTCCAGGAGCGTCAAACCAGCTTTAATAACCGGCCCCTTCTCCATGCAGGCTGTTACTTCTAGATGACATGGTTTTCTCTCCATCCCCTTGACCTGGGAAATTCTTTTACAAATTCCTTCTTTTTAAGGACCTTTCTATATCTTTATTAGGTCACCTAGCACACAAGATTTCACTGATTGACTGTATTATCTCCTCTACTGAAAAGCAAACCGTTAGGAACTAATCTTATAACCAGGTCCTGAATGTACACAGTACACAGAAACAGGAAGAATTTTCTAAGAGTAATATAGTTGAAAGGAAATTGGACACTCTATTTAAGGGTGTGGAATGGGAAATAATGTCCACAAGAAAGATGTGGATTTACAAGTTTTGCTATAGGGCATGGCCAGCACAGAGAGAGAAAGAGAGTACTCCCCCGACCCCAGGAGGGATGGACGCACCTCAATTCCTTCTCCTCCATACTTCTCTTGGGATTTGGGGCACATAGACACACATGTGCATGCACCAACACACAGTGTTGTGTTATTTTCAAGATGCTGGGTCTAGGGCTCAAACCTCCATAGGCCATGGAAAACCCAGTGCCTAACCACCACACCACCAGCTGGCCTCACGTAACTAATGTTCTGAAAGGAGTTATTTGACATGTGGACTATAGATTTTTAAAGGAAAAAATACATGTATGAGGTTTAAATTTTTCAGGAAATGTAAACCAAATGAATTACTTTAATTAGAGAAAATTAATGGTAAACATTCGATGTTTTCATAACAACTGGTAGAAAGTTTTCTTGCTTATTTCAAAGCAGGAATATGTGGGGAAAAGAAAATCAGGAGTTTATGGGAGAAATGAGTCTCAAATTGAGAGTTACTTCAACTCAGCATACACCAACACTAACCATTCACAATAAAATAACATTAAGCCAAAGCTTAATGTTATTAATAAATAAGGGGAAGCAACTAAAGATGAGGGGCTAGAATGGATTATGTTAGTTCAAGAGACTATGACTTCGGTATTTCTAGAGCAAAAAGAAAATCTCACGACCTTGAAAACAGACGCCCTTCTCTGGACTAGAATTATTTCAAGATTATTGTCATAACATAGGAACTCTTAGTTATGGATTAAAGTAAACGAAACTGAAGAACCAAAAGACAAGAAGGTATTTTCAATTCATAATCCCTCGGATTCAAGACTAAGTATGGGAATTACAGGGCACTGTCTTGGACAAAAGAAATCAGGAAGAAAGAAAATGGCATTTTCCAGGTCTCCACAGGACTTTGGGATGTAAAACAATTGAATCAGAATTACAAAGGCAACCAAGGGTTGAGGATAGTGCCTTCCCAGAAGTAGTTTCTGAAAGTGGGAGAGGGGCCAAACACATTCACTGGTTCCACCAACATTTGTTGAATGTTTTTCTGGGCAAGGCATTTTTGACCAGAGCCTCAGTTTTTTCTCCTGTAAAATGTCTACTTCCCAATGCTGTGAAAACAGTGGTAATTAACCACAACTCGGAGGTAGGCATCATTGCCATTTGACAGGTGAGAAAACTGGGCACAGTGATGACTAACAGGATCACAACTTTGGAACCTTGCTATTCTTAGCCCCAGAAATCTCTGAAGTAATGCCTCAATAAATGTGTCCCTCTCTTCTCCGTTATATCCCTACTATCGCTTATGGAAAAAGAAAATGACACACACTTTTAAAGCAACCTACTATGTGCCCAACACGGTATAGGTATACTTATTTCTTCCTCTTAAGAGTCTTATGAAGTTGGTCTGGGTTTCAAGGAAGTTTAAGCTGTCTCCAGTGAAAAACTTACTTTACATGTAAAAATTATTCTCAAATCACTTTTCTGTTATACATATGCTCATCTGTGAGCACTGTGAGTTAGGATCTGATAACAACTCGGGGAAAAATACTGATCATTCAGGTTCCAGATAAAGAGAATTAAGAATATATGCAACAGAAGCTTTGTGAACTTCCGGACACCAAGGTTCTAGGATATACTATGAATGAACTTTCCATCTCCAGTCTCTCACAAAATGAATACAAAGACAAAGCAATATGGATCATATCTTTCCCACCCTCAGCTCATTCTCTTTGATAAACCCCATCTGTTCTACGCATCACCTGAATAAACAAAATGCATTAAGTTCTGTATGTGTATTTGAAATTTCCCAGGACGAATGAAATTCTAGCCATAACTTAGCTATCATACTAAAACGAAAAACAAGTCAAAGAATCTCTGCATACTTGCAAAGCACTTAATATGCATTTTAAATATATGACCCAGAAAAAGAACTGCCTGAAAGAAAGCCAAAGGGATTAAATGCAAAGTTTTTCATTTTCTTAACAGGCTCCTTCTAGTCACTTCAGAAACACCCTAGTACTGGTTGCCTTTCTGTATTTGTTGTTTAGTCAGCCAAAACTTAGGGGGGGGAAACGTGTTTATTTAATAACAATGAAAAGAGGAGTTTCAATTTACATAAAATTGTTGGTGTGGGAGGCCAGAGCATCTAAGGATATTCTTTTCCAGTCATGGCTACTTTCAGATTCTAGTACTTCAATGTGTCTCAAATGCAAGAGAAAAGAGGAAAGAAGCAACAGATATGGTGCTGCTTATCGGATGTCTAGACTGCAGGCAAACCCCAAATACCAAAGAAGCATCCATGTGTCAAACCAGCATAATTTTTCAGCTATGTCTGGAGCCACACACCAAAAAAAAAAAGGTTAGCTGAAAAAGAAAATCTAGGAGGGGGAAGCAGAAGGTCAATCCCAGTTCACAGGCACTGGGAAGCAGCAGCAAGGTTAGCTAGCCGTCCCTGTCATCTTCCTGAGCAGCTTCCTCCCTAGGCCCCTTCCAATATCGCAGAAAGGCCCAACTCCCTGCGTGCTAGCTTCTTCAAGGTCATCCTCAGATAAGGCAGCGAACAGTCGAACAGTCACCGAACACTGAGTCACGTATACCTTGAGGCCAAACAAGATGCCCTTTCCCCAAATCATTATTTAACATACTTTAAATGCCGTCAGGCTGTTCTGAGAACTCCACCAGAAGAAACAAACTCCCCGGCTTTCCATTTAGATTGGGCAACTAAACGTGTTCAGTTTTGCAACATAAATTATTAAATGGTTTCTCAAGTCTGGCAAACTCCCGGCTCAAAAAACAGGTGCCTTCTTTTCCCCCTCTAAAGGCAAGGTCAAATTCTTTTTCAATTATTAAAAGAAAAAGGGAAGAAAAGTTTTCTTAACCTTCCTTCGACAAGGTGAGGAGGGGGGAGAAAGGATGGCCGGGGGAAAGCCGCCTGGTACAGGGTCCATGTTGGGCTAACCGTAATTCTGATCTCCCGAGTGCCCACAGTAATGGAAGGTTACATGGGGAAAAAGAAAAACAAAGAAACCGACGAGGGTCATAGTTACCAGAACAAACTCTGCACCGCCCTACCACCCCAAGAAACCAGCCTCCCTCCAACCCAAACAAGCCTCGCCCTCCGGGTCGGCCTCACACGTAAACACACAAAGAAACCGGCGGCACGCACAAGTCGCCCACGGTCCTCACTTCCCTTAGGACAACCGGGAGCCCCGAAACTTCCCCACGCTGGGTTTTCGGGTGTTGCCCGAGCTGGGTCCCCTAGACGTGCGGGCCCCAGCTGGGCGTGGGAGGCGGCGCTGGCCGCGGTCGCCGGTTTCCCCGAAAGCAGTGAAGTGCCCCCCCCGTCCGCGGTCCCCTC